TCTGTACTGTGAGCGCTTATGACAGCTATGATCATAGTGTGCTCTAACTCTATATTCAGCTTTGAACCCGCGCACACTGATTTTATATTCGCGGTTCTTATCTACTGCGCTACTCGTGCTGGTCACGATCGAGTGAATGGAGGTCCAATCAGTAAATGCCATGACTTAATCGACAGAGAGCAATCACAGTAGTTACGATCAAGGTAAACTTCACCGCGCTAGGTAGATGCCCAGGCAATAAGTGTTATGCCTTCACGGACAGAGAGGACTCACTGTAGCTACGGTCAAATTAAAGTGAATCGCACCGAGATTTGAACGCGCGACCATTGACTTGATGTTCGAAATTCTTATCTACTACGCTACTCGTACTGGTCGCAATCTAATGAATACAGGTCCAATCGGTAAGTGGTACGGCTTAACCGACGGAGAACAATCACAGGAGTTACGATCAAGTTAAACTTCGCCGCTCCAATCAATAAGTGCTATGCCTTCATCGAGTGAGATCACTTACGGTAGCTGCAATTAAATTAAAGTCTACCGCAGATTTGAACCCGCGACCATTGATTTGGATTCTTATCTATTCGGTTACTTATGCGGACATTCAAATGGCCAGAAATGAAATAAAAATTTTTGAAATTTTTTTTTTTTTATATAATTTTTATTGAATTTGTTTTTCGTCTTATATTTTTTTGTTTTTTCATTTTCCATTTATATATAGTTAAGTTTTGTATACCACAATTGTTTTTTGTTGCTGTTGTTTTCTGTTTTTCTTTTGTAATTTTTCAGACATATTATTAAATAATACAATAGTTTTTTTTTTTTTGTTTTTAATTTTTACAAATTAGAACCCATTTTATTATTTTATCATTAAATTGTAATTATTACTAATTTCTTTTTCTTGAATTTATATGCAAATTATTTAATATGTATTATTTTCTATTTTAGGGAGAATATTTTTCCATTTTTTTTTATCGTTAATTTAATATTATCATTACTGGTTTTTATAAATATATTCAACTATACATTAATTAATTCAATTATAGCTAGAAATGTACAATTATTCTGGTAGGGGGAGCAAAAGGGAGTATTAATATATTAATCTTCCATTAAGTATACAATTTTTTTTTTAAAACTATTTTCTATATTATCTTTCATATTTTTTTTTTTTTTTGTTTTAATTCTATACAAACAGAAAAACTTCTTTTCAAATAAATCTTAAAACAGTGGCTGTTTTTAAAGTTATCAAGCCATTTTTTTCCTAAATTATTTTCATTGTATTTAGCTAATTAACTAGAATATTATTTAAACACATATTTATATATTATATATATATATACGTATATACGTATATATATATATATATATATACGTATATATATATATACGTATATATATACATATACATACATATATTGCATACCTTAATTTATCGTACATATTTATGTATATTATTTTGGTGATATTTTTTATACAAATGTTTTGTTAGTTGTCCTCATGTATATGTGCGTTCTTCAGTGGTTTGATTATACCCATCACAGTTTTCCAAAGCTGGCTGTGGGCCTTCGTCAGGAGGCCCTTGCAAATTTCAAAGACTTGGCTAGGTGAGATAACATATCGTAAATTAAGATATGCACTCCACCTTTACTTCTTCCATAGAATCTTTCAAGAAGAGAAGCGTCATTTTAAAGTACATTTTAACTCGCAAACAAACAATTTTCATTGCGTTAACATATGGCAAATAAAAAAGGAAACATTCCCCAGTTAATTTCTATTCATGTTATGGAAAACATTCTCCTGTTAACTTTTACTTTGGTTATGGGAGACATTCTCCTGTTAATTTCCATTCATTTTGTGGGTGACACTCTGCTGTTAACTCTCATTCATGTTATGGGTAACATATTAATTAATATTTTATCGTTTATAATTACAAAATGCTCATTCTATTCATGTTAAACTAAGCTTAAATATCGTACATTTTCGTTCAATAAAGATCCGAGTTCAGTTCAGCGTTTAACGTCAATTTATTAACATCATGTTCTTTCGAAACGAAGAGTGGTCGAATCCGAACCATTTTTAATAGTTTTTGCCCTTAAACGAAGTTTAAATAGTGCCGAAAGAGAAAATGGAGAATAAAGATGAGGCAGAGTTCACCACAAAAACTTCTGGAGATGCTGGAATACATCTACCACCAAACATCTTCATACTCTTTTCATCAGGACAGGTAGACTTCGCAACTTATTCCGTAGATACCTTCACTGGTCGCGGGAATGCGTGGTAAAGACTATGACATTTTTAAACAAAATGACTCTGAATGATAAACTTCTTTCCTCCTGCTCTCTAAGTACTTAAACAAATAAAATTGTAGAATCCATACAACCTGAAAATTAGCTAAGCAATCTCAAATCCAAAGAATGACAATTTGATGTGAGTTTTAGATTGGCAGTGTAATTGGACCATAATTTTACGGAAATGCTTTACAATAAATGGTGATTGATTGATGCTATTTATGGTTGGGGATGACGAGAAGGATTGCATCTGCTGCGAAGCTTGGGAAGAAGTAACTCCAATGTATGATAAAACAATGGTTTCTCTTGTTGGAAGACCCTTTGCTTAAAACTCACGCTAAGGAACGTACCGCAGTAAAACCAAACTTATGGCAGATTAGCTTACCTTAAATGAAGACAGTAACAAGGCATCTAGAAGTTAGATATACATAATATCAGCAATATGGTGATTTATCAGGAAAGGCCCGTAGTGTCTGGCTGTGCTCCTCATGCTCATTTTGTTTCTTTCTTCGGAGCTTGTGGTCGGGGGAAAAGAAATCGTGAAAGTGAGCTAGTATGTGGCCGTAGCACAAGTGATACCAAGCTGATCGTAAGCCTTGTCCGCTTTCACTGGAACTTCGGCCGTAAGCTCTCATTGAATATCCATCTCTGGTACTGACCAGAAAGAAAAGAGGAAAGAGAAGGAAAGTCCTTGTTCCGATGCCCTAGAGATTTTCCAACCGCGTGGGGGAAAAGTGTGTAGCTCACACCGGCAGCGCCAATTTTTTTTTTTTAACACGAGTAATCACTTCAGGCAATGATGCCTATACGCGTAACATGGTAACAGTTAGAAAGAGGTGAGGGGAAAGAAAGAGATAGGAAGTGGCTACAGCCTAGTCGGTGTGTGCGCAATCGATAAGTAATATGTCTTTACCGAACGAGCACTCACTACAACCGTCCTTTTTAAACGTTTCGCCATTATTATTGAAGTTGAATTTCACTTGTTTTGTTCTCATACTCTTGGGTTATTTCTTATTTTCTTCCGCTGCTAACAATAATTGTAGGACACCGAGCCTTCAAAGATAGTTATGGGCGACGTTAATATTATTTTAATGTAAAGCTTATCTCATATGGGGCCTTCAGATTAGTCAGAGTGAAACGAAGCCTTTGTTGCTATTGGGTCCAAAAAACATTTTAGAGACCCCACGCTTTAACAAAAAAAAAAAAAGAACAAAGCGACTTACATTTGCTCATTTGAATAGCTGTGGTTAACATGGTAATGGAAATTGTTTACTTTATTTTACTACGCTCACAAGCCATGTTACTTCAATTTAGATATTTTACTACTGTTAATTGAGAAATTTGCGGAACGATAAGCGATGGGCGCTTGCGACTCGCCCTTAGGCGAGCTCTTAAACTTTTAGTCGGGGAAGTAATTGATTAATTATTATTGAGGATTTTTTACTACAACGACATAATTAATAGTTATTATTTTTTGTTTTTATTCATTAACTTTTTTTTTTTTTTGCCTCAAACATAGTTTCTTATTTGTCTATATACAGAATAATTCAGTCTTTGGAAGAACGTTTATGTGTTTTTTTTTTTCTATGTTTATTTAAAATTTTCTCTACAAATTATAGAATTTTTTTCTAGATCAAGTTCGATATTTGAAAAAATAATGAAAATTAAAAAATGTTTCTTTTTTTTTCTTAAAGATTTGAAAAAAAAAAACAAAGTGTTTATAGCAAACCAAAATAATTATATGTAAAATATTTTATCATTATATTAATGCTTTTTAATAATTTCATCTTAAATAAGTTTTAGAAATATTTTTTTTTTACTTAATATACTAACTATTCAACTTTTTGGTCCTAATGCGAAAGAAAATTTCTTATATAGTAAATGCCTTAAAAGAGAGAATTCAACTAACACCTTTACCTTTTATAAGAGCAGTCAAAAGGCGTAACACTGTAAATACAATTTCTTACACATTAGAAAATTTCTGGCTAAACTGGGAATGGAATTATAAAGTTAGGCTAGATTAGGTTAAACAACTTGTAAGATAGCGGTGATCATACACTCCATACTCTGTTCAACAATTTAGTTACGAAATCAGTTAAATTAGGCTGTCGAGTCAAGCCTCATAATCTATTCGCCTTCTTTTAGAAGTCCGCTAATACTTTTTTTGTCGCTATAGAAGACGCCTTCCATGTCGCTTGAGAAAACTTTGCTAGCCTTTGCTTTGCCTTTTTACTTAAAGAGAGGGAGGAAAAGGTGAGAATTGTTTCCTTCGCGATTTGATGATGTTAGTAATAACATGAAACGGATGGGTATAGACATGGACGGACGAAACGGACGATTGCTTTCGGAGTTGGCGATGCTAGGCAATCCTATTGTATGGATGGTCAAAGAGAACGAGGAATAAAGCGAACGATTTCCTTCGGAATCTGAGGATATTAGCAAGTCCGTCTTATATATGATCGCAGACAGATGTTAGCAAAGACCGTTATACGAATTATCGCACATAGTGCGGAACAGAGCGGACGATTAACTTTAGGGTTTGAGGAGATTGGCAGAGATGGTAACGTACCGTTGGTATCGTATGTCGTACGGAAGTTTAGTGTCTATGAATGCAAACTTACTGATAAACAGTGGAATTTTTTCTCATTGAGTTATGCTGTTATGGCTTTCAACTGCTTTTATAATCATATAATACTTTAATTAAATCTTTTATTGTTTTTTTTTTTTTTTTTTTTTGCAAGAACTATAGATCTATAGAAACTTAACAAGGAGTCGAACAAGATTTTTGAAAACATTCGAAACTCAAAAGAAAAAGAAAAGAAAATGCAAAAACTCTTTAAGTTTTAAATACATAACGCACGCCCCACGAATACGATCTCTAATGATATTGTATTATATATGAAAGTGTACAATGTTAGTTTTGTCATCGCTAGAGATCACACTTGAAACGCACGGTTAATTAATGTCACACACGCAGCTCATCCATTAAGGGGTGTGGTTGATGTTGACTTGTTTGCTGTTGTGGTTGCGGCTGCTGTTGTTGCTGTTGCTGGTGTATATGTTGCTGCTGATGGCTAGTTTGCGTTTGTAAAGTTTGCGTGCTATTAGGCGGCGGCGGGGGAGGAGGCTGTTGACCACTTATCCCTCCGCCTAACATTAAACCCGTAGCGCTACTTAATGTGGTGGTCATAGTTTGATTGTGAGGATTTTGCAAGTGTTGCTGATGCGTTACAATATGCTGTTGTGTAGTTGATTGCTGCTGCGAGCTTTGTTTCATGCAACTTTTTTTCGTTAGCGTTCCGCATTGATTTCCCATAACCTGCAAGGCATGAGGAGGTGGTAACAAACCCATAACATTACCGCCGGTATTTGAACTACCGCTACCCACACCGGCTACGCCGCCCCCTCCTGGATCTTGTAAGCTTTTTAAGTGCTTGGGCGGAGGCGGTGCTCGATGGGGTATGTCGGCGAATTCGGGCGGCGGCAGCTGATGATGCTGTAAAGCATGATGATGCGATAGTATGGTAGCGGGATCGCTTTTCGTGTGTATTGTCAAAGTTTCTAGATCACCGCAGATATTATTTGGCATTTGTCCATTTTCTTGACGTTTCAGTTTTGTCTGCGATCGTGGCTCACTCAAACGGGTCTTATCGCGTTGATAATAAACTCCAGCAAATATTAAAACATTTAATATTAATAAACTGCATCCAATGGCTATAGTTACGCTTAAGGCTGTTGAGTAAGCAGCGAAACCATCGTTATCCTGTGATGTGCTAGCACCAGCTCCCGCATGACCATCAGCATCTATTATATCGTCCGGATAATGTTTTCCCCCTCCACCGGCTGTATAACGGGTGCCATTGCGTTGCAGTGATGAGGAGGGTGAACTGAGATTAAGCAAAGAGAAAACCTGATTGGTAAATATGCTAAAATTACCAAGTGCTGCATTGGCCGTGCCGGGCGCATAAGGAGGATTAAGCGGTTTAATCGACGCATCTCCCGATACTATCCGATTATCCATATCAATGACATCACCATTATCTCTATCATCAGGCAATTGATGATGCAAAGCTGGTACATTATCTCCACCCGGTTTATGTAGATCAGGTATAAGATTCAGCCAAAATGATAAACGATGAGCGCGATAATGATTTTTCAATTTAGGTTTAGTATCTAAAAGGTAGTTTGTATGCAAAGGCAAAGCTAGCTTATGCTAAGAGAAAAATAATATTTCTTTTTAAAAATCGCTTACCAAAGTTTAAATACTTCTTATGAACACTTTCATAAGCGGTCCATTCTATAGTTTTATAGCGGCTGCGTTCTTGACGACTCCCATGATCACTTTCCATTTGTTCGTTAGGATTGCTGTAAAAATAAATCACAAAATTTTGGAATTATTTGATGCACTTACGGTTTGATTCAATTCAAAGAATTTCTGTTCTTTTCATCACATTTACCCGGTTCTTATGAAATTCGACCAATAAAGCATCACAATCTCCGATAAACTTATTTCGGTTTTAGTAAAATTACGAGTAAAATGATTGAAACCACCGACCAATGGAGCACCAAATATATACGGCAAGTCCTCTCCGTGTATGCAACCTTGACGCTGAAAATGAAAGTTAACGTCCTTAAATTTAATATATTGACAAATCTTAGGGAACAAAACTGTAGAAAAATTAATCAACACTCGAGTAAAAAGCTACAATTGTATATATGTGTGTCGATCGATCTTAGTCTCTTCCTAAAGGAATCTCTTTGTTAGTTGCGAGCATTTCAGCTGATTTATTCTGCTCATTTTGCTTTATATGAATTTGATAAATATTTGCTTTCGTGGTGTAGATGCTTACGATGGAAGTGTTCAAAGTTAATGATTAGTTTGTTATGTTTCAAGAGAAGGGAAGAGTTTGTGGACGGTTTGGTAGATTCGAACGTAGAGGAACAGATCCGTTCACGCTTGGATGGACGGACGCGATGATAGATGGATGCAAGGGAACGGCATGAACGGACGGTGGCATAATCGAACACTCCCAGAGACTAACATGCGGGTGAACGCAGTAACACATGAACACGCTTGTGCATAATTAGACTAACTCGGAACTAAACGAACACGCGAACACGTGATTATATCCGGTTAAACAAACATCCAATTAAACAGCCACCCTCTTAGACGACGATGCGGTCTGATGAGCACGCAGATGGACGAACAACATTGAACATTTTATTAGATGAATGTGCCGTTAGTCGAACACTCTGTTATAGGAACATGCTGGTAAGCTAACCGAATATGCGTTCGGAGGAATACCCAATTAGATGAATGCTGAGTGAGGTAAACACGCAGTTTGCCGGGAACTCAGCTAGTCACAAGCGATTAAATGGGCCCACAGGCAAACGCGACAATGAAACGTCCCGCATGAGGATTAACTTGGAAAAAGATGAATAGACAAAGGAACGCTTCACCATAATTACAAAAAACAAAATTTTCTATAGAAATGAAGACACGTGCAAATCGATGGACAGAAGAACGCATGAGTGAACGGGAGTCTCATCGCTAGCCCTGACGAATAATGCCTGGACAGACGAACACACAATTAAATGCAGTGCTGCATTCAGAATAACAAAATTAGTTCGTTGCAATCTACTACGTGGATAAGAAATGCACGCATTACTAAGATCACCGATCTCAGTTAATTTCAATATTGTACAGGAGGCACACAATTGCGTAAATGCATATTAATTAAGTACTCTTCTTCATATTCTCACTCTCAATTTAGCAAAAACTAAAAAATAAATTTCGTTCTCTATGCCAGTTTCAACTGGAACTCCCAACTTTTCATAAAAGATTTATATAAAATGCGTTGATATCCTATTAGTAAATCAAAAAATCCAAAAGTTCTCGTATTACTCATTGGATACGATTATACCGAAAGTATACTAAAAAATTGCTATCAGAGTTGCATTTTGGAATTTGGGGAATTCACGAATTGTTGACGGTCCAATAAATTCCGGCAGAAATCTTAAGCGTTCAAACATCTGCTTATGTTATTTGGCGTGCTTGATGGATGAGTGTTACTATTGAATCGATTACCCTGTGTTTATGCTAATAGCATTTAACTAATAAATATGCTTTGCAATTGAAAACCGTCTGATGTTCAACGGAAAGGTAGCAGAAAAGAGCAGATATCAAGTATATTAATAAATTCAGCAAATTAATAAAAACAGTTGGTATAGATAACTAGGACGTGTTTCGTGTAAGTTTCAGGCGTTTACAGGCAGCATTTAATCAACAAAATATGACTTGCTGTTGGAAATCTTTCGAAATTCAACGGAAATATGACAGAGAAAGTCAAATATTAAGTCTGCTTAAATTCGTTTCTTCACAAGGTGTGCCTGTCGCACTCAATTTCCTGGAAACAGCAGAGAGAGATAACTTAGCTTTTAGATATTGGTTTCATGTGTTCAGTCCGCGTTCAGCAAATCAAAACCAAAAAGTCCTCTTCAACTTGGACTGGGAACTTATTCCCATAAAATTATATTGTGCAGACCTGTCTCCTTCTGCTGGGCACAGTTCCAGATTGATGCAATCACATGGAGCATATCGGAAGTTCGAAATCAATGGTTCAATGACTATTCGACTATTCCTTAAGCTACCCAATAAATAACAAAAGACCATACGTAGATAATGATGACGGACGAAAGCTTAAGTTTTGTAACAAATATATTTTAAATAAATTTGAATTTTTTCGAAAGGAAAGAATTTAATAAAGTGGTAATAAAGTAGTAGTAAATTGAAGTAAAATAATTGTTCCGTGTACTATGTTCTTTATCGTTTCCTTTCCTTTCCTTTTCCAGATTTATCTCAACATTAATACTTTTTACTATCTCGCACACTCTCTTATGATTTAGTTTGACTTTGACTTGATTTCATTTTAATACTTACTTGTGGATAATCTCCGTATCTTGTTTGATAATCGAATACATATAAATAAGAATTACGATGATCAGCCGAATGTAAATCAACAGTTTGAGCTGCTGGTGCTACAACTTGTGCATCACTCAAGGCTTCTAAAGTTTCGTCTCTAAAAAAACAGCAAAAAAAAAAAATTAAATAAAATAAAAAATTAACTTTTTTTTTTTTTTTTTTTTTTGCAGAAGAAATCTTCCTGTCAATAAGCTATAAAGTGCAGTACTATTTGAAAAATCGTAACCACAAACTTACTTGCACATGTTTAAGCCAAACAACTTAAAGATCAAAGTGTTTGATGAATAAAAAAAACAAAAAAAAAAAGTAAAGTAAGAGAAAAAAAACTTGGAAGGCAAAGTACTAGAAAATTGTTTACCATCTAGAAAGAAGCACATTTTCCTATATGTGTGCCTATAGTTGAACAGGTAGACGAAACCTTCTAAGACATCTACGGTTTGTATGAAAAATTTGGTTTCTTCTCTTCGAGATAATTTAAAGTTTCATTTTCTTCGCCTTTTTTTTTTTTCTTGTTTTGAATTCAGATTAAATTGCAAGTGTTCTTCATTATGGTATGGTTAGAGAGAAACTTGGAAAAGTTTGATTAAAGCATCTAATGTTAAGCTTTCGCTTAACTTACAGGTTTCAATTTTTAATTTAAAAGTATTTGTAGTCGTCTTTCTTGAGAGATTCGAGAGTATTCGCTTAAAGTATCACTTCGTTCAAAAAGTCTCAAGTTTAACGCACATATGACATCTATATTGATAGGCTCACATGATTTCTGAATAGTATCAAGATTCAAAGGAAATGTTTCAAAATTTTATGACATTCCGATCACTAGTTTACAAATTACAGTTGTCTTAGTGGCACTATTTTTTTGGTCGGTTTGGACGGCTTTCGCCGGTTGTTGTTCAATCGGCTCTGAAGTGCTTTAATCAACACATCAATACATACATCATATATTTTTTGGAAAATACAAAATTGGGGTCACTGAGGTGCCACTTCAAACCGTAAAGTAATTGTGGGTATATCATAGAATTTTGACACACGCCGTTTGAAAGTTGATGCTATTCAGTAGTTATACGAATCTGTCGATAGTATCGTAAAGTATGTTTGAAACCGGAGAATTATTGAGTGATGTGTTAAATTTAAAGCATCGAAGATACGTTGTCTAAAAAAAAAAATTCCCAGATTAAAAGCAAAGTGAATGACCAGAGAGAGGGATAAAGGGTCCATCGAACAGTGTTACTAGTCATAACAAGAATCATTATCATCAAATTATTCCTCGAGCAGGTGCAACTCTATCTCTTAAATACTAACGTAAGGCCCCTCCATTGTTTTTCCTCTTTTTTTAGAGGCAGGATTATAGCCTGATTTACTAACAGGACTACGATTTAGTATTCATCTTTCTATTTTCTCACTAAAACTTGATTGATTCTCCTTTATTCAAAATCGATTGTCGAAATACGCAAGATATACTCGGTAAGTGCTGAATATATTGAGGCTGTTACACCTTTGAATTAATACGCCCTACGTTCTTGTAATATCTATATGTGTGTCTTACTTTCACTTACTTTTTTTTAAAGATGGCTCGGTAAGAGTCGGCCTTAGACGTGATATTATTTTTTCACTTGTTAACCATATCACTCCTCTTAATATTTTCGTAGATTTTTAATATTTTTGTAACCTTAATCCATGATTTAACAATGGCCAAGTTTACTTTGATCGTGGTTGTAACGAATTCTCTCACTCGGTGAGGGTATAACACTTACCGATGGGACACGTAATGCAGTAGATTGCAACAGGAGGGAATAGCCGAGCAGATGAGAATCGCGAACATCAAGTTCGCGTACGCGAGCTCAAGTCTATGTTCGGCCGAGATGCAGTGAATGCTTTGTTAGTAATATTTACCGGTACATATCCACTAGCTTAACACGACTAAGCCCTATCGATTTCCTTTTCCTTATTTTTTTGCAATCCTGATCGTAGCTATACAGACTGTTCAATCTTACCGATTTAAGCAGAGGCCCACTAGAACTTCACCCATACCCCCTTATCTCTTTTTTGCTAACCACTTCCCTTTAACAACTGCCCAACGAACTAGGGCAAATCCCCTGACTTATTTGTCCTAGAAAAAAAAAAAAGCCGCCCTTAACTTAGCTACCCGAAATCGGAGCGGTGAAAAAGCAATTTTAATCGCTTCATAAATGTTCCTAATTTTTTTTCTATTTACTTAACGGAGATCGAGTAATCGTTTCGAAGCAAAATATAATTTTCGTATGATTTCTATTTCATTTATGATTTTTAGAGGCTTTACCTAACTGTTAAATATCAAATGTATTTGAAAATGCATCATGCCCAGTTTTTAATATTTAGATCATAATATATGCACATACGTTTAAATAGGATTTAATTGATTCTACTGAATATCCTCTTAAATATAAATTGATTTTTTTTTTAGATTAAATTGGCAGTTGGAATATATTAAAATCTATCAAAAGTAAAATAAGCAAAAAATATGAAAATTTTAACAACGTTTTTCCGTAATCCTAAAAAATCACATTTCAATGACCTGTATACCCTTGATGACCATCATAATATAAATAAATATTCAACCGCAAAATATATATTTGTGTTTATATTGCTATAATATGCTCTAACTTTTTCAAATAATATAAACAAACAAAAAAATATTCATCACTTTTATTAAGCAACAATTTCGTATACAGTTAGGGAGGGGATTGGTTAGGTTGAACACAACCTTTTTCATGTGCGCGCTGTATATATATATATATATAATAAAACAGCAACAACAAACAAGAATTTGACTGCTATATGCAGGAAAGCGTTTTTTTTTTTTTTTAATCTTTAATAGATTAAACATACTTTCCATTTTCTTTTTTTGGATTTTATTTTTATCAAAAATTTCATATAAATTGCAAATAAATAAAGTTTTATTTCCGTTTTTCTCAATTTATTCAATCATTTTAATATTAATTCCATTTTTAGAGAAAATTGTTTGTTTTTGTTAGTTTTTCATTTGTTGGTTTAATATGCGAAAAATCGAACGAAAGAAAAGGAAAAAAATTTGACAAAATAACTGTGAAATAATTTTTTTTTTTTTATTTATTTATTTATTTATTTTTTTTTTTTCTTCTTATATCTTTCGCACGTAACTCATATGTTGTTTACAGGTAACGAAAATATTTATTTATTTTTTTTTTTGCTAATGGAATGAACTTATTGTGCAATTTAGATTGATTTACACCAGCTACATACATATATATATATATCATCGCCAACCATAGTAATAATAGGCAATCTTTCAAAAAAGATATATATATATATATATATAAAGCAAATAAATAGGAGATATTTTGTAAAAAAGCCGTAAATCGTTCTGAAATCGTCTCGTTATTTAGCCTTCATTTTCTTCAATTGCTTACGAATGATTTTTGTAGATCAATTACGATAACGACAATAAACTTTCCAATTTTCATCCGACGCCAATATGTGATAAGCCGAATATTTGAGATCTCTCAAGTACATTGCCCGCGAAGAGTGAGTAGATTTCAATTGACGATCGCAACAAAGGTACATATAAAGTTCCGCGGGATAGAACTTAGGAGAGGCCATTGCGAATCAACACTTATCACATCTTAAAAAACGAATTTTCGGCCAAAGTCGATAGTAAAGGAAAAAAGCCTCACCCTATCAATACTTTTGACATCTCTGTATTTCAAATTGCGGTATGACAACCCTGCATTAATACATAAAAATAGCAAAAATCGAATCATGAATGCACTTGGTCTGAACGATTCGTCATAGACCAATCACTCACTAACCAAGAGTTCAATAATGAAGCGACATGATGAGCAACATCAAAATGGGTTCGTTTTGAATTCTGAAATACAGGTAAAGTGCATTTGAACTGAGGCGATCTTGTCTTATCTTCGCTTAGTAAGCAAAAGTAACCTACTACGCTATTGGCGCTTAATTATAAGAGGTAGTGCTTCACTTAGTGAATTGAACAAGTGAGTCAGTCTTGGTTGTTCAAGAAACTAAATACATAGTTTTGGGCTGGTCAAGTGGAAGGAAATGCTAACCAAATATGTTAAATGTGTAAATGAATACAGAAAGAAACTTTACTAAGAATTTTAGCAATCAAATTAACTGCATGGATAGACAGGAGCCACTGGTAAGACAAATGAAGATAGACAGCGAGATAAACTGCAGCTAGAAGTGCAACGGAGTAGAAACATAGTATAAGCCATACGAGATAAACAGTTAGTCAAGCATAGATAGAGATTGTTTCTAGTAGAATACAAATAACTAAATGAGCATAGGTAGGCAAAAGCACTGCTCAGTAGTATTAACAATGTTAGACAAGTTATAGTGCCAGAAAGAATAATGCCAGTACATTTGAATATACGGATGGATGGAGACGCTGCTGTGCTGGACAATTAAAAGATACGTAGATGGTATCCTCGAAAGAAATGGTAGTGTTTAATCATTTACTTATGTAGGTAAGCACGAAAACTTCTGAGTACGAATGATAACGTTGAACAAGTTTGACATACATAGATGCTTAAATATAAGCGGAAGAAGTAGCACACACACACATGCAATGACAGGTCGGCAGTAATACTGCTGAGTACGAAAAATAATGCTGGACAAGTACACACATGTTTAATGATTGTGACAAGAACCGCTGAAAAGCAGAAATATCAGTGACTTACTTAAGCACGTAAGCAGAAGCACTGTTATAATCAGGGGAGCTATTGAAGACGAAGAATCGTGCTGGCTCGCTTAAATATATAGGTAAGCAAAAGCGAAGTGTTAAACAAATTCGATATATATATAGATACTTAAAGATAGGCAGGAGAAGTAGTGAAAATGAAAAATCTCGCTAGCACACTTAAATATGTTGATCGACGGAAGCACAGCTGAATGCTTACTATTTAATAACAGACAGGAGAACCATTGAAGATGAAGCCACGACACGCTAGTAAGCTTAAAAGTATAGGCGGAAATACAATCGAGCGCTAAACAAGTACGACGTATATAGATGCTTAATGATAAGCAGCAGAACAATTGAAGACGAAGCCACAATGTGCTAACACCCTTAAATATATAAGTAGGCAGAAACACAGCTGAGTCCTTAACAAGTACGACGTATACAGATACTTAATGATAAGTAGGACTCCAAGTCTTTTTATTTCACGCTCAATTGTTTATGTTGCTGAGAAAAATCGAACCCGCCCGCTGTGTGGCATATTTCATCTTACGATCAACATATTTTCACACGCGTAATATATCATTGTGTGAGGAATGTATAGAATAATTTTCAACATTCTGTCGTGTTTATGTTGTGAGTATTAAGCAGAAAATATTAATAAAGTAAAAAAAAAATGTGCAACTCTGTGTAGGCGTGGTTCGAATTTTTTCATTTTTGTACAGGTTCTGCATAGGTTTATAAGTAACAAGCAAAAAAACAAGTTCTTTTGTAGCGATTGAAAGCACAGGTGGTCTGAGCTCGCGTTGTTTGATAGTTTTGTCCGTTTCCCGAATTGTTTCAATTTCAATATGAAGAACTGCGTGCAAGAACTTTTAATCTTTTTACCCAGTTTGAAGTCGATTACTGTATTAATGCGACGGAGAGCGTGTTTACAATAGACATTGAACAGACAGATAAGGTTTTATATACCTATCTAGATCTTCTCAGGCTTTCTTTCTAAGTGTTTCAAACGTTTTGAAACAATCATTACGCACCTCATCCTTCGTTGATGGGTAAAAAAAGGGATTTTGGTATTCAAAAGCCACACAGTTCCCTAAAAAAACGAATGTCGGCAAAAATTTTGCTGCTGTGAAAAATCTGAATTGAAATGTTAGAGAGAGTGAAATTCTACTACTTACGAAAGGATGATTTTTTTTTTGCAAGGTTTATTTTTCCCTTATTTCTCACATTTTGTATTTCGTATTATTTTGACTTCAGAAGCAAGATACAACTTACAAGGTTAAATAAAGATTTACACTCGGCATTTTATTATTACATTACATTGGGATAATTGTAATTTTACATTTGCTTTTGGTTTTTTTTTTTTTTGTTTTTTTTTATCATTAATATTAAAATTTTTCATATATTACCTGATATTAATTGGATGTTGTACAGGCCTCTCCCAATCTGTATACTCGTTAACGATTGTGGCAAATATTTCATTCAAATGATACGTGTATGTGTTACGCACGTATGCCTTAAGGATTTTCGAGCGTCGATCAGCTTCGATGCCATATTGCACATCACCGGAATTAAATGAGAAAAACGCTTCAGCGCGTGTTACGCCAGCCATTAAATCATATCTGTTATGTTATTATAATAAGAATAAAAAAGACGAATAAGAAAGAGAAAATGAAAAAAAAAAAAAAATGAAAAGTAAACGATAATAAAAGAATTATTTATGTAAATTTATGCTAACGATTATCTTAAATTTACATGATATCTTATGTAGGAAATAAATGCATGATAAGATTTTTCCTTCCTTTCCCCAATAATAATGATTAAATATTATTTCATTATAATTTGTAATTAACAATAATCAGTAAAAAAGAAGAAAAACAAAAAATTGAAAAGTGAACATTTAAATAAAATAAAGTAAGAAAATTATATTTATATGGAACCGAATGGGTATGAATGTCATCACCGTTATTTTAAAAAAGACTCGAAAAAAAAGAAGAAAAACTAAATTTCCATACTATATAGCATTGGCGTGGGTGTGGTTTTGGAAAGATAAACTATGTTTAATGGGTGCATATACGGACGGAAACTCTCAACTTCTCGTGGTGGGCCCTAGTAACCGCCTTCGATCGGCGAAGAAGTGTTTAAGGCTTGGGCTATCTATAAGTGGACGACTTGTAAATAGCTTAGAAGTCATTGGAAGAAGCTTGCTACAAGCACTTGTTTTCTCGTAGACAATTGCTATGGAGGAAATACAAACCAGCCTTCGTTGGATTCTTACTGGTTACGTAAAGTACGTTGAAATAGTAATAAACGAGAGCATGGAGCCTGCGATATCAGCTGTAGCACCTGATGCAAATACATCTTGAAGAAGGGTAGTCCGCTGTTGGCTACCCAAAATTGTATAGTTGGTCCGAAGGCAGAAGTGACTATGCCGCGTAAAAAAAGGCTAAAGACTTTGTAGAGTAAATTTGAGCTCTACGCGTTCAGGAGCCCGCTGGCAATGTCGCGAGTAAGCTTGTACCTTGATATACCATGTGGAAGCCGCGGTGAAAGCTGCTACATCCAATCTTTGAACACATATACCGTCAGAGTGGTTTAATTTTTTTTTATTCTTGTAGAACAAAAGTATATCCGAAGCAGAAATGTCCATAAGTACGTTTACCATAACAATTAACAGACAGATGGAAGGATGGACGGACAAGCACGTTTAGAATGATTTAGATTTGATACTAATCAATATTATGAAGACTTTATAGGGTCTTTGAAGGTTCTTTCCAGACAATGAAAACATTTTGGTAAAGGAATGGAACTTTAATAATCTATAATATTGAATAGGCGTGGCTGATTTTCAGGACATAAATTTTTATCGTTGCGGTTTATAAGTAACGGGTGAAAAAGCAAACTTTTTTTATTTTCAAGACATATGTGGTCGCAAGCTATGTCGTACAGTGCGTGTATGCTTTGATCGATTTGGAACAACTTCAGTATCAACCTGCGTGCAAAAATTTTCAAGTCTCTGCCAAAAGTACACAACTTTCCTTTTGCGACGAGAATAATGCTTCCACTTTACCGACTTTACACAAACCCAACGACGGATGGACTGACATGCTCAAAACGGCTTAACATTTGATGCAGATGAAGAATAGACATACTTTGTGGGGCCTCTGAAGCGTTCTTTAAACAAAATGAAAATGAATGTGAACAGCGAGGAAAACGTAAATGAACGATGTTAGCGCAATAGCTACTAGAAGAGTTCCAAAGTGATTTGCGAGCTTGTATGCCAAAAATTTTAACGTTAAAGACGATGAACGCTTTGAAGCTCCGCGGAAGGTATTCGATGAAGAAATACAAAGTTAACTAAATGAAAATTCGGCAAAAACTCAAAGAGAATTTGTTGAACGATTGGGAATAGCTCAAGAAGAAGCAATTCCAGTTCAATTCCATAAATTCAATTGCAAAAAGGATACGATTATGAGTATAAAAATGAGAAAATCCTATTAAAATAAAATTTAAATATTTTCCTTTAAATTCTATCGTAATTTCATTTATTTGTGACAATTACGTTTACGTGATCAATTTGGCTTATATGATGTGAGGACCCCTTAATTAACCTAATAGTTAATTATTAAAAAAAAAAAAAATTTTCTAGTTGGTAATAATTTCAAAGACATCAACGTCAACAATTTTACAGCCAATTAATTGTAAACACGTATTTATTGATATTCTTCAAATGACTCTAATCAAATATCTCGTATAATAATTTTCTTTTGCTCATATTTCTCTTAATATGCATCTCCCAATAAACCGCGCGATAGCGTTAAGCAAAATATGATGCTAATGGAATTAAAAAAATTGGAGCAAATGTATGCAAATAACCTAAGTAGAGTTTTCTTAAACATAGTCACTGCGGTTAACTTAGTTGTATTTCTGCTTACATTTCAATCTTTTTCTAATCTTCTCTTTGAAGAGAAAATAATAAGGACCTTATATGTAAACTTTTTTATGCCTATGCTTATTTATAAGTGCCTAAGACTTATGTTCGATTATTAATGATAATATTTGGACGATGCCTTTGAACTTTTTTCAGGTTGGTTCGAATCCTCAACTTTCCGAGACATGAATGTGTTCATGGCTTACGAAAGTAAGCTTTTGTGAAAGGTTGATTTATAGAAGCAAATTCAAAGCATACATATGAAGCCGTAGACTTTCGAGCTTTCGCTATTCGTCGATTGCTCACGACTGACGAATGATGGAACCAATACGTAGTGATGCCTTGAAGGATGCCAATCTCCTATTATTAGGAGACAAAGGTGTAACGGTACTTGGTTATGTACTGATCATTCTGAAGTTATTTGTAAACGATTATTTAGTTATTGAAACATCAATTAGACGATTGAAGTCATAAGAAAAATTCAGAGCACAATTAGTTAGTAAAAGTTAGATTAAATTACTGTTTCATTAAAAGGAAAAGTCAACAGTGTTAGTGAAGGGAGAATTAATAAGTACTAGCGAGCATTGTTACCAGCCCGAAATATTTTATTAAAGGTTATGATAAACATTAAAGATACCAAAAGACTGCCTGATCTGTAAAAAATAATATGGTCAGTTGCAATATTTTTGTGGGGAACCTCTGACATGAGTCAAATGGTACATTTTGGACCATCTTTAAATAGACCTTTGTTCAATTTTCTTTAACAGTGATTTCGGTTACTTTTCTGACAGATTTTTATAAAATTATTAAGTTTTCTCTTATCGAAGAAAATCACGACAAAATTTTTTTTCCATGAAAAGTTTGTTGGGAAATGTTTCCCTTCTCTTTGCATTAAAAAAAAATCTCAAATAAAATTTCCTCTATACGTTGAAATATATATAATATATATATATGTATATATGTGTACACATAAAATCAAGTGTATGTATAATAGCAAATACAATATATGTAAATATCTACATACATACAGACATTAGAAATTATAGAAACGTGTTTACGTGCCTTTACCATGTTTAGATTTACGATTAAATGACGCCATTTACCGATAGAACATAAAGTTTAAATATAAACTGCACATGTGCATGTGTTTGTCCAATAAACGTTTGCAACAACGTACAAAATAGCAACGCGAGCATATCTATACATATAAATATCTACATATATATATAGTGTATATATAGTGTATACATATATATATATATATATATATATATATGTATATATATGGAGAGTACATACAAATCACCAGACTTATCTCATATGTGTATATAAGAGAGTTTATATAAGCGATAGATATAACTAAATATACATACATAAGCATAACTATGTTAACCTAACTAAGCAACGTGTAAACTTTATGTAATCTGGTTGCTAAAGCATAAGATATTGAATCAATTATAAATGTCGCGCACAACATTATATTAATTAAAACGACACTAATTATGCCGGTGTGTGTAGAATGAATGAATGAACGCGAACGAGAATGTAACAACCACTTGGTACAAACTTACTAACATGGTAGAAAATGTAGCCACAAATATACAAAATATGGCTAACGTATGTACGTACATACATTTATGTACGCATATACATATACATATGTCCATATATTGCGTGTTTAGCTACATTTTGCTTTAAGGAGGCGACGATAAGGTTTTGTGTATAAATAAATGTACAGTTGTAAGGTTTATTAAGATTAATAACCTAAAGGCACACACACGCACATACATAAATCTGATATGGAGACATGCTTATATACATATACATTAAGTAAATACATGAGACACGGCATATTTCCTTAGTGTAACTATGACCACTCAACCGTTATTTAGGTTAAAAAATTTTAATGATTTATAGAGTTAAGAAATTTCTTACATAAAAAAAAAATTAAAAAAAAAATTTACTTAAGTGTAAGAAAATGCCTTATAATGATTGAGATTAAAGTAGAAGAAGAGAGAGAAAATTAATTTAAAATTACAATTATATTTATACACACCTGGATAATTTATTAATGGCACTTTTTCTCATTAAAACTAAAGACATTTTAGTTAGTTTGTAGTAGCAATGAAACGAGAGAAATTTTAAGAAAAATATATTAAAAAATTTATATGTGTTTGAAACTTTGTTTTTAAAACATTTTTTTCTTATGCAAGTTCTTAACATCACTTGGTTTAAAAGATCTAAGGCTATTGAACTATTGGTTATGAGAAATTTACAAATAAAAGTAGAAAGGAAAAATCCCTTTAAAACCTTAGAAAAGAAAGAAAACAAGAAAAAAAAAAAAACGGAGATAGTAAGTATAAAGGCTGTTTATGTAAAGGTCTTCTATCCATCCGAATATGTAATGAATTATGGAAAAGTTTCACGTATTCCTATCCATTAATGTAGTTTTACAATTGTAATACTTTTAATTGATTTTGCGAAGAAACTTGAGAAGAGATTGATTGTTATCTCAACGAGGAAGTGTGCACATTGCCTAAAAGAACTGCGAAAACAATCAAACAAATGTATCTTTAAAGTATGTTATTCAAAAAATTGTAGCCTATATCAAGGAGTAATTTATAAATTAAGCTTTTAGTCCATCGACGCGGATGTTGGCTATAACTTAAGGATAATAACCAAAAGTGATTGCTTAAAGCATAGTTATAGTCGTGAATGCCGCATATTACCTGCTCTACATTACTTCGCCTAGTACTATTCTTTATAATACATCTACGACATAAACTAAATTAAATCAAAAAATAGTAGGCGAATAGCTTTGCTTCCGCCGTTTTACAGTAAATTGCTTGGTCGGTTTGTTGTGGTGGAAATAAGCAGACGTATACGTCAAACAATAAACAATAAGAGTTCTCAAGATAACTCCATAGAGACATTAGTCGATTAATTGCTGCATTGTAAAATTGTTCTTAATTGGAAATGTCAGCTTACCATGCCTACTTGTAGTCTCTCGCGAAGAGTTCTTATTCTCAGCGTCAATATAAAGAACTCTGCGGCTGAAGCCCATTAAAGATTCTTACGTACTTATAGGAAGACCTGAGATTGAAAAACGTATCGTTATTGTTCTCAACGTTTGAAAAATGTCGATCGCAGACCGGCATAGCGGAGGAAGAGAGCAGGTAATAAAGAATGCAGAATTGCACGCGTCACACCTTCAAGACTTGGGTCTAATGAAAAATAAATTATCAAGATCAATGAGACTTGTATGATTGACGTGGTCGTAAACATCCAATTCGATCCAATTCCACTTGAATGAAATACGTCTTTAGACCAAAACATAACTGAGTATCAAATTTCATTGAAATGTGTCTTTTTGTCATCGTATTAAACAGAAGCTTGCCTGGACAGACATCGAAACGGCAAAGGACAGATTGACTTAAAATGATTCCAAAAATGAATTTGGTTCGCTTGTCATAATAAATTATAAGATCCTACTGTTTGTTGCATATATCCGCACGGATCCAATAAGTCCTCCCCTCAAGCGGATTAGTGTACTTAAACATAAACTCCGAAAAAAATAATTTTTAAATCATTTTTACTGATGACTGGCAGCCTAGAATACAGTGATCTATTTGAAGTGAAATTCTTAAAGCATTTATATGCCTAACTGGTTATGTGTTCTACAATACATTGGAATTGTTTGGCCATAATTTAATTCAATTTACATTCACTTTACCGTTATGTCGTTTAGTATTCTCTACTTCAAATTTACCTTTATTTTCCAATTGGCCGGGTGTACCCCAACCACCAATTGCTGCAATACCTGCTTCACCGCCCAAACCATTTGCACCCATTGCTGCTGCTTGGGAATAGGCATGCATACTACCTGGCGGTGGTGGCACATAATCGCCTCCATCAATAACAACACCATCTATACTGGGACCAAAAGCAAAACCAAATTCCGGTTGACGTATAGGTACACTTAACAATTGTTCCAGTGGTTTTTCACGTAAACATTTCATAAAATGAGCGTGTGGCAAGTCAGGAGCACATTGAACATGATGAGCCACAATGGCAGCATATTTCGCTGGATTACTAACCAATGACCAAGGCGCCAGACCCGAACCAGACATTAATATTGCACGATTGAAAAGCAACCCTTTAAAATAAATAAAATTATGAGCCAAGCATGCAAATGATATTTTAAAAAAGGATAGCATTTTTACCTTCTGGTACCGCCATTGAAGAGATAAGAAAATGAACACATGCAGCACCAGTACCATGACCGGCTAATGTTATACTTTGCGGATCACCACCGAAGGCGGCTATATTCTCTTTAAGCCAATGCAAGGCAGCTATAATATCCATTAAACCATAATTTGCTGGCAATTTCGAATAACGATCCGTATTGGCATTGAGGAAACCTTAAGAAAAAAAAAAAATTAAATATAAATAATAACAAAAAATAATTCCAATAATAAAAATTAAAATAAAAGATAATAAGTAATTGTTCTGATGATCCTCTTATTTCAATATAAATTTTTAAAAATTATGGCCTATCTTAAGGAGCAATTTCAAAATAATTTTCTTGGCCTAGTTTAAAGCGTAATTATAATTGAATTGGAAGAAAATTAAGCAAAAGCAAAAAAAAACATAATCTCTCTCCTTATCTGCTTAGAAATATTTTCATTTCTTAAAATCTTTTATCTAAATATTTACAGAAAATATATAATATGTGTATATACATACATAGCAAAATATGAATTATCAATAAATTTCCACATGATTTCCTTAAATAATAATCTTTTGCATATGTATCGTTTAAAATAAAAATAAAAAAAAAAAATAATAAAACTTTTTTTCTTTTTATAACCGGTCATGAATAAAATAGTTATAATCATGCATGCATACACATGTTTTCTGTCTTTCTAATCCCGTTAAGCTAGTTTCTAATCATCGGTTTATTTGAATATTTAATATTCTCGAGATTAACAACAATATTAAATAATATATAATTGAAAATTCAGTGGAATGCAAAAATAATATATAAAAATTTTATTATAAATTTGCGGAAATTTTGTGGTTATCATTGGAGGGAAACAGATGAACATAATGCATAAAAAGGGGAAAGGGAAAATTGAATTATATTCAATTTAATGTAAATTTATAAATTTTTCGATAATTGAATTGATTCAAAATGTGTATGTACATATGTGTGTATATCCAGGGGCCTATTCATGTATGAGCATATATTCTAGAAACCACAATATAATTTATATTTACTTATTACTTCAAGCAACCATATATGCCATACTTCACATACTTACTCATCTAATAAACACTTACCTAATAAACCCAAACGATAATTGATAGTTATCACCAACAACTGACCAAAACTGGCCAGGACAGAACCATCGTAAGGATTACCACTATTCCATTCATAAGATTCTCCATGAACGAATACCAATACAGGCAGTTTAATTTGTGTCGATGATGTCGACGACGACGATGACGATGATGATGATGATGATGAAGATGACGAACTCCCACTGCTGCTACCGCTACTGCTACTACTGCTGCTGCTGCTGCCACTGCCAGTACTACTGCTCCCACTACTACTGCCGCTGCTGCTACTACTACTGCTAGCGAAAACATCCCTTGAGGCCACTATAAAGATAATTGCGAAAGAGAAGAAGAAAAATGTAAGAGGAAAAAAATTTTATATATACAGACTATCAGCACTTAATGGTTACTTTTGTACTAATTAATGAATTTCTTTCCACGTGTTCGAATAGTTGTACTGTATGTTCGCTTGATGATTGACAACTGACAACTGTCAGTTATTTTGCTGAATGCACAAAATTTTCATTATATCCTCACCCAATCCGATGAATGTGTAAACTTTACGATAAGAAAATAATGTCAGTAACGCATAAAAATGACAAAGTTAGTATTGTTAGCTACGCCCTAACGCCATGACGCCCTATCGTCCATCTAAGTTGATGACAGACAACATACGTAATTGACTAAACTATTGTATGATTTTGCTATATTTTGTAGGTTGCATTTCACTTAAATTGTTTGAAGAAAAATCTCTTGTTATATTGATGAAATTTCATGCATGCATTTATTATCAAATTTACGAAAAGTTTCATTCAAATTGTTTTAAACTTCATATAAAATTTCTAAATATATGAGTTGTTCTTGACATTTACTTAATCGATCTTTGTTGCATTTAATCTACTTATTATAACAATATTTAATATTAATATTACTTCATAGAAAGTTCATAGAGAAGCAAATCATTACAACAACTAACAGAGCAGTAATTGTGTATATAATTAGCATTATGTTCGTGGACTGAAAACAGGCTAATAGTTACTTTTCTTAGCTTGACTGCCGACATTAGACAACCTTTAAATTAAATTAGTAGTACTTAGACAGCATTCAGAGAGAACTATTTGACAGCTGTTAAGAGGCTCACTAAAATACTAGTAAAAAGCCTAAGGGGAAAATTGACAGCTGTGTTAACTGAAAGAACAAGCGTTAGCTCAAAACGTTAGATCACACGGTGGAGCGAATCTTATAAAAGATGTTTAGATTCTCTTTAGAGCAGCTGACAGCACATAAACTTTGGAGTAGTGACGGCCGATGGAATGGACACTAAGCGAAAAGGTGGGAAAGGCCGCAAGACAGACAATGAAAGAGGTAATAGAACAGATACTGAGACAAAGCTTACGGTAACCAATAGGAAAAACTACAGAAAAGATTGATGAATCGAAATAAGAATGGAAGGTAAAACAAGTAATAAAATGGCTGAGGATGGATCAGATGGAACGACAGAATAGAAATCACGATGAAGAGTGTGGCAGACGATAGGGCAGACGGAGGAGCAATTAACAACGTCGACAGCAGAATGACAGAACGAGCGATTATGTGGGCGGATAGGCCATGACTAAAGAAGAACTTGTACTAAAACAGTCGATAAGATCTATAGTAGAGCGAGTGGTATGGTACGCTTTGCCGTTTGCATTTCTTTATACGGTTGGCGAGGTAAAGATTGGGGTAGATAGCAGAAGTTACTCTTTAGGCTTTAGAGAAAGTCCTAGGAATGAGACCGGAAAAGCCCTAAACGAAGGCGTAACAACTAGAAAGGCGCACTTTCAAATATATGAGAGAACGGTTGATAGCAAGGGAGGCGAGACAGATAAGCGAATAGCTGTAAAACGGATGCCAAAACGGGTGAAGAAAATCTTTAGTCAGAATAGGCAGAGAAGAAAAACCAAGACTAAGATAGTCGATAGGAAATTTCTGAAAGTGTACCGATTTCAATGGAATTGTAAGATATATGTGCTATCAGTTTCGTGCCTCGAGAATGGATACATAGAAGAACAGATGCGTTTGTTAGAGTAGGTAAAAAGTGACTTCAACTACGCAAGAGCACTGATTAATTAACATATAAATTCGAAATAGCTTTGTTGTAACTTTAGCGGACAATGGTTTTTTTTTTTTTTGATATGACGAATCACCCGGGAGATCTTCCCTGCTCGTCTGTAACAGTGACAATCAGGGAGAGGTGCGGAGACAGAAATAGATGCGGACGTGGAGACAGTAGTCTACTAGATGTTACGTTTTTAACGACTAAGTGCGACCAAAATAAAATCTATCGCATTTGGGACTTGAACCCGCGAATCATCAACAGATTTCGATGACCGTTTTATAATTTATTATAGGAACCGCTCAATTCAATTTCCACTGTAACTCTTCCCACTTTGCCGGTATACCACTGCTTAAGTATTATCGCTTATCTTTATTAAGCAGCTATTTACATTAGAGGTATTGTTCCCATTTGATTATATCACTATTGAATGATAAAGTTCACTCACACTTAATCTGCTTGACAGCAACATTAAAAAGTCGGTTATTATCGCATCGTGGCACATAAATTTCTTTCGTATATATGAGAAAATTTACAGCAACATTTAGATGGAAAATTAGAAGCCTAAGGGTTCGTCAAGCAATCAGTACAGTTTCTTAGGGGAATGATTGTTTTTTTTTTTTCGTTTTTTTTTTTACTGTAACAACTGAATAAACCTTAGAATAATATATAAGAGATAAAAATGGAATAAAAAAAAAAAGTTTTTTTCCAATTTAGTTGCATGAAGTTATAATATAAAAACTTTGTTTAACTTATGCTATCTCTCACTTTCCCGCCTCTCTTTCTTTCTCTCTCTAAGTCACTTTTTAAAACTTGAATGTGTAACGAAAGTGATGTCAGTCAGTTCTTTTAAATGCAGTTTTACTTTCTTATACATTGTATATTTATAATGCGATAAAAAAATACTATAATTTCTTCGTGCAATTTTTTGAATTATAAAAAATTTCTGAATTTCGAATTAGGTATAGGAAACATGTTGATAAACGAAAGAATTTTGTCATGACGAAAATTTCTTTTTGGTTGAGGTAATAAATGTCAATATCTCTTAGATCTGTTTTGATGGCTTTGTGCCTTAGCTGCAATCCTCCAAGTAATTTGTAAGTTTATCTCTTGCCTGTCCTTCTGCTTTTAAGCAATGGGGCGATATTTCTCTCTTATGGAAATCTTTTTGATATTTCAGAAAAACTGAACATATGTCAAATAAAATTATCATCGAATTATAATTCCATTTAATTGAAGTTCTCTGCTGTTTGCACTGTATATTTCGTAATTGAAAATCATCAATACGCAAACTCTTTGTTTAAAATTTATACATTTTCATATAATAAACTCAAACTCATCTAAACTAAATTTATGCTGGCAAATCTTGAGCAATACACCATAGCTTGGATAGGCAATTATTACTTTTTAATTTATGCATTCGTTGTGGTTATGGTTAATATCAATTTTATATGACATTTAAGTACCACGTCATTATATCTATATACACTTGTATATAAAATATTAAATTATAAAACTCTCGTTTCCCCTATCCATTGGTTTCCTAAACAAAAGGATACTTTGAAATTAATTGACATTTACGCAAATTAGGCATTAATGAGCATAATTAGAGTTGTATTCCGCATACACGATGATAACAGTGTAATGAAATCGTGCAATAATAAATTTGCAATTATTCAACCTTTAATTATGACGATAGTGCCCAAGTACAGATATATATGATATTATATAAATGAGATTATAAATTCAATGGGATTGCAAAGACTTCGATTGCAAAGACTTCTTAAGTCAAATTCTCAACACAGTAATTATAGATAACTAATGTCATGTCGTATAGGTTCTGCTAAAGTAAACACTTTTGCAATTCTGCTGCTTGAATATTTAATCTTCTCTCAGATAGTCGGACGTTTCCTTCACCATATGCTGGGACTTGCAATTTGTTCGATTGCCAGCTGATTGCGAGACTTCATGGAGCAATGAGAGGAATAAACCTCTCTTCTTTGAGAAGAATGAGAGGATAGTAGAGAGTCCTGTGTTTACATTGTTAGAACATAAGTAATTTATTCTTACTTCATCTTTAACATCAAATCACAACGATTTTTGCTCTCTTACAACAGAACAATGTGCTTCGAAGGGCTTGTATAATTTGCACTCCAAAAACTCAACGAAGCTTGCTTTGAACTTAGTCGACTTATGGGTTTGGTCAATCTTATGCGAAAGGCCTTAAGAATCACGATGGTCTTCACTATATATCAACGCCTTTCGATTGACTTCGTCCGTCCATAACGTTCAATAAAGTTTACTATCTAAAAGATGGAACAGATGAAGGGCGGATAAGAATTCCGTGTAGTTTTGGTCAACCGACCATTTAGTATTGACTTGCTTCAATAAACTTTCAATTAAGGCGTTCTTTGCTATTAACGTATAAGTAATTCTTGTCGATTTTTTAAGATAATCAAGGGCACTTTGTACTTAATATCCATTATTGCTCTTTTCCGTTTTAGCAAAAACTTATAGGCATTAAAAGAATATTCCTCATCTAATCTTCTTTAGCAAAACACTAATCACTTATCCTTTGCACAATCCATATTATGCATTATGTAGCAAATTATTGAAAAGTTTCAGGTAGGAAACAATATATTGCAAAATCCGAAAAGTTTTGTGCCATTTTTACTACCATGTCTTTTCTTAAGCTCTTGAATAAAAATTCTCAGAAATTGAAAATACTTATTTCCTTTATTACTCTTATATTATTCACTTATCAATTTTATGAGTTGGCATAGATTATATAGCGGACTCTTAAGCTTATAATTTTCTCCAAAGGCCTAAACTAAATATACAAGTTTATTGGATGATCAAATAAGTTGTTTTTGCTATGTGTAAAATCTTGTTGCCATGTGCCTCCTTAAAGTGCTTTAGCAGAACCCCTTAGAAAGTAAAATCATTGCACAGTCCGGTTCGGTTAATTGATAATTGATTGTATTTTTGCTTCAGTCAAAATTTTCATAACTAACCCACGCCGCTATAATAGCAACCAGCGGAAATAAAGAAAACACTATTACCTTATATTTCATTATATTACTTTGCTTTTGCGTTTTCATTTTGCTTTGCGTACAGAAATTTCAAGCATAAACTTCAGTAATAAACTTATCGGTCGTATCGCTTAGGCCGAAAAAACGTTTTGCAAACTTATTAGAACAATCCATACTATATGGGAGTAATCTTAAGACGTTTATACCAGCTTCTCAGTTTCTTATTGGGGAAAACTTTTCTAC